GGTAACCGAGCTACCCGACTCGGGTCGTTCTCAAAGGAAGGCTCTTTGGAGCTTTGTTCACTACCTAGTCGTCAAAGTCACACAACCAAAAAGATCCTAAACATGCTAATCGCTTGAATTGAGGGGTTCAATTTTAAACTAGATTAATCTACGAAATGAGAGCAATTGAAAGAAATTAACTAAGCACGCAAGAAGATGAAAGAAATCAAGGGGGAAAATGAGATTTTGGTTTGCCGGAGTCTCTATGCTCAAACACACGCAAATAACCGAACATTGCCTTGCTAGCTAAAACCCTAGGGAGCTAAACCAAACTCTAGCACAAGACGAGCAAGCATTCAACTCCTAAGCACACTTAGTCAAGCATTCTCGATCTAAAGATTCAATCTTTTCCTCCAATCAACACAAGCACAATATCAATTTTCACAAAAAGCAAACAAAGATATACGAAGTAATGGGGCTTAAGACTAAATACCCACTCTTACACGCACTTAGGAAGAAAAACGGAGTCAAAAGCTCGAAACTTTACTCGAAACAACGTCGCCGGAAATTCGCCGGAAAACATGATCCATAAAGCTCCAAACCAAAGCATAAAAATAAAGGAAAAAGAAAGTAGAGAGGATTTTCCCAACTTAAAAGTTGGGAAATGAGGGTTGTTTCCAAAAATACAAAGCAAGATGTCTATTTATGGCTACACCACAAACACACACTAAAAACACAGACATTTAATGAAATTCTGCAGTTCGCGGATCTCGAAATGGAGTTCGCAGCGATTTTGGCCATGGAATAGTGTTGGAATGGGTGTTTCGCGGGTCGCCAACGGAAGTTCGCTAGCGAGTTGGGCCTTGGGAGCTGCAGATTGGCGTTTCGCGGCTCGCGAAGAGGATGTCGCTGGCGAGTGCTAGAGGAGGTTGATGTGCGCTGGTGCGGTTGGCGGCTCGCGAGAAGATCTTCGCAGCGAGTGATGGCAGCTCACCTTGGCGCTTCGCAGCAAGCGAATGGAGGTTCGCCCGCGAGTGCCGCCTTGGGGAAGTTGCGCTTGGCGTGGTGCGAAGTTCCTTTCGCTCGCGAGTGCTGGGCTTTAGGTGCTGTGCGTGCGGATGGCGCGACGCAAATCCCCTTTCGCTGCGAGTGTGAGGCTTCCTCAAGCGCGCGTCTCGTGGAGCGCGAGTCCGCGTTGGCTGCGAGTTCGGGCCAAGACTGATTTTCTTCGGACTAGGCTAGCGGTTCGATCGAGTGGTTCGGGTAGCTCGATCTTGATCCGGGTTGCTCGTAAATTGCTCGAAAATGACCCAAACAAATTTTCTTCCCAAAATTGCAATTTGGACCTAAACAACACATCAAAAGAGACGCGAAAATACGGAAAAATACAAGAGCGCATAACACAAACGAAAACACATAAAACACGATAAAATGGATCGGTTGACACTAAAACGAGCATAAAACGACTCGAATAAATCACATAAAACTCGAGAAAATAAGCACAAAAACACAACAAACAACTCCCCCACACTTAGCTTTTTGCTTGTCCTCAAGCAAACAAAATAACAAGTAGCTTGAAGAGATATATCGAACGGTCCAAAATTAACGAACATGCAAAATGAAACTCTCATTATCATTCGGTTATCCCAAAATCAAAATCCAATCCGAGACACGGTCCCCACATAATGAATCAAACGAAACAAAAACTCGTCCCA